TTCAATGAGATAACACTAAATACAGGATTCATTAGGAGTAACCAACCTGGCATGTCCTTATCAGTCACCAAGCTATTGTTAGCTCTCCATCTTTCCTGGACTTTTCCCTGGTATGTACTTAGGGTTCTAGATATGGACCAATTGTCCTATTGACCAAGAACCAAAATAGCCAATTAAACACAGATATTTCACTGTCTCCAGAAAAAAGCAACAGAAGCACAACGGACTGATGTATTTTTGTCTTGTTCACTTGCCATACCCATTGGCAACCTCTCCTCTGCCCAGCATGGTGCAGGTACCCTGTACTGTGTTCTCCTCACTGATCACACACTGGTCCTCACTGCAGCTCCCTGCATCCATGGTCATAACCATGGCAGGGCATCACAAGCACTTCCAATGCCTTCTGTTTCTACTGTAGCCCTCTGCTGTTGTAGATCCTTCATCCTCAGCTCTTGTCACCCATGACCCTTTCGTGACCTCTGACCTATTCATTTACCACCTGCTCATTGTCCAGCAGACCTATCATGTTCTTCCTTCTCTTGGAACTCAGTTTGGAGTCCAAGACCTTGTAAGTTCCTCATTTAACTCACCCTATTTCCTTTGCCCTCTTCTGACTCCATCAAACCCGTTTGAAAAAAAAAAAAAATGCCAACTAGCTGAACTCAGATCATACCAAACAGTACTTTAAATATCAGAACATGGCCGGAACCATTTCTTTCTCATTATCATAACTTCCTGTAGCACTCGAGGCCTTCCCTTCCTTCATCAGAGTGCATTATCAGAGATTTGTTTTTTTAACCTTGTCTTGTCAACAAAACGACTCCTGGAATCTCTCTTGCTTCTTTAAGTCCCCACACTGAGTACTTTCACAGGCATAAAAGCATATTTCATTATCCCCCATCTTCAAAACAAGACAAACCTCCAAATCCATAACAGAAATGGCCTAATTTTTCTGTTTTGTTTCAGGAGAGACTGTCTGGGGGAGAAGGTAGTGACCAGCATTTCCACTTCCTTGTCATCCACCCCAGCTACTCCACCAAATCGATTTCATCAGGGGATTAGTGAGGTCTCCATAGATGCGATGGTTAATTTATGTGTTAGCTTAACTGGCTTTTCTGCTTCTCCAGTTTTCAGACAGCGTGTTTTTATGGAGGTGGGCTTTGAGGTCTTTATATATTCAAGCTATGCCCAGTGTGACCCACACAGTTGCTTCTGCTGCCTATGGATCAAGACATAGAACTATCAGCTCCTTCTTCAGCACCATGTCTGCCTGCACACTGCCATGAAGATAATGCACTAAACCTCTGAAACTATAAGCCAGCCCCAATTAAATGTTTTCCTTTGTAAGAGTTGCCATGGTGATGGTGCCTCTTCACAGCAATAGAAACTCTAAGTAAGACAGTCATGTTTTAAGTCCAGGAGTCCAGGAATATGATTTTATTAGGGAAAGAGTCCTTAGAGCTACAATTAAGTTAAGAATTTCAACATGAGATCATCCCAGAGTATCCAAGTGGGCCTTAAACTCAATGGCAAGTGTCCTTACATGGAACACGCAAAGGGAATGAACAGCGTAAGAGGAGAAAGCGTACAGATGAGGGACGGACGCTAGAGTTAGACAACCACAAGCCAGAATCTGAAAAGGCAAAGGAGGCATCCCCCTGTGGTCTTCTGAGTAAGGCCCTGTTGACCCTAGACACCAAGCTCTGGCCTCTAAAACCACGAAAGTACGTTCTGTTGGTTGAAAGTACCAACATTGTCGTCATTTCTCTTAGGAAAACAATACAACAGGTTGGAGGGGGAGAAATGGAGAATGGCTGATAATAGGCTTCCCTTTTGAATGCTGTAGTAAGGTAAAATCGGATTTCGCAGATGGTTGCACAACTCTGTAGATATGCTAAAAGAAACTCTCCAGATAAGTGAGTTTTAAAGTATATAAATTTTCGTCAATGAAAATATTAAACTATAACTCTAGGAGTTAACTTTTAGCACACTCTTTATTACCTAAACCTGTTGGAATGTTTTTGAACTCTCCTCTGAGACATGTTTCAAGTGTGACCCCTGTTCTTAACTTCTATTACACTGTGTTCATCCATGACCATCTCTGTAGCCTATACAATCACAATTCTAATCAGCCTCCCCAATTCCATTCAAACCCCCTTCAAATCCATATTCCTTTAAAAAAACAAATAATGACTTCTTTTCAGGATGGAGTATGTTTTTAAGATAGGGAGGTTCTATATAGTTCATGTTGGCCTGGAAATCACTTTTGCCCTGGCTGGCCTGGAGTGCTGGAATTACCATGCCTGGAAAAAAGATTATCTCACAATAATCCTGAGTTCTCCAAGTGCTCATGACCTTTGATGACCTCTGCTGGGATGCCCAGGCAGCTGTGACTTTTCTGGGTAAGAAGCATTCCCACACCATTTCCATTTCTCAGAGCACACATTGCTTATTCTCTTTCGCTTTCAGCTTCTAGTCACAGGACTGGGAAGTTCAGCACTTGCCACTGGCAGCACAGGCTTGGCCTTGGAAGCTTGGACAAATGGCCCTTCTGTTTGGGCCCAGTCCTTTGCACAAACCAGAACCACAGAGTGCTGTCTGTCAGGTCTCATCTCCCAAAGTCTGCATCTCTCCCCGAGGCTTTCACCTTGAAATCCCCACTCTCTGTCACAGTGGCATTCAGACAGCTGAGCATTCACCAGACTGTGGAATGATAGAAGAAAGCCTGAGATGTGGCGTAAGAAACACAACTACAACAGTTCAAATCCCAACTCCACAGTGTGAGTGCAAGCAGGTTGCTAAATGCTGAACGTGTTTTCTAGGTCTCTCATTTGAAGCCTGCAAAGGAATATCTACCACAGTTTACTTGTGTTAAAGAGGTGATACTTAGGCTTAAGAATTTGCAAGTTAGACAAAGGCATATTAACAAGAGAAGAGAAAAAACCCACAACATTCAGATATGTGATGGGGGCAGGGAGAATGTGAAAGGAGTGGTTTCCTCAAGATCAAAACAGGGGTTTCCAGGAGGGACGTCCTGGGGTGGGGGAATTCCGCAAGGGAGTTTCTAGATCAGAGGTGAGAGAAGGGAATGGGTGCTTATGCTTAGTTATGGATGTGTAAGTAGTCCCCTGTGGGTACTTTGGTGGTGGTGATGGTGGTGGTGGTGGTGGGTGTCTGTGTGTGTGTGTGTGTGTGTGTGTGTGTGTGTGTGTGTGTGTGTGTGTGTTCATGATTGTATAAATCCCCTGGAAGGAGGATTTACAGCAGCCACACTTCCAGAATTTCTGCTTCTGGAGTGATAAGGGAAGAAACTGAGGGAAGGTTTCTGTCTGCATCAGGCTGATTCTCAAATGTCTTCAGTTAAAATAATCTTCGTATTCTCTCTCAAGGTCGAACAGGTCCCCTCGAGTGCAGGCCAAGGGCACCCTTCCTTGGGACTGACCCTCTCTCACCCCCTCCTTCATTCAGTGTTTTCTCTCGGGGAACTTCAGTCACTGTTCCCCCAGCTGCTCAAGCCAGGGCTTAGATTTGTCTCCTGAAGCTGGAGAAACGTGGGATGGCTCCTCCTTCCTCGCAAGCAGCCCAGCCCTTCCCCAGGCCCGCGGCTGCCCACCTCAGACCAAGGGGTCATCTCCCACCCGTGCGTGCGGCAGCAGCTGCACCTGGGGCCATTCTGTGCAGCAGCCAAAGGTATCTGGAAAATGCACCCTTTCAGAATGCCGGTCCCTGGGAAAGGTGCACACTACACTGAATGAAATTTTCACCGATGGTCACTTTGTACAATGAATAGACGCTACTAATTTTAAAAAAATGTCATTCACTTTCTTCAAACTCCTTGGTGGCTTCCCATTGCTATCCTGATGGGGCACCGTGTTGCGACACCCCACAACCTTACACTGCCCGCTTCACCCACCTTCCCTGTGATCAGCTCCTGACACACTGGTCCACAGTCCTTCCTGGAACCCTGTGCAAGTGTCCTCCCCATTACACTGTCTTGAAATCTCGCTCCTCTTTCCACATTTCTGCCCCATCGACTGGGTCTGTTCCTACACAGCCTCAACTGAATAGTATCACTTCTTTGAGAAATGTCCCTGACATTCTCCTCCCTCAGACAAGAATAAAACTCCCATGAGTTTTGGAGAGAGATGGGGAGAGAGGCAGGGCCGGGGGCAGTGGGGGGGGGGGGGGGGGGGGGGGGGGGGGGGGGGGGGGGGGAGAGAGGAGAGGGAGGAGGAAGCGAGGGGGGGGGAGAGAGAGAGAGAGCTCATCACTCTGTTATTCTAGCTACAGCTATACCTACACTATATGAAGACTGAGATTATTGGAAACCATACGAACACTGTAAAAATCACAGATTTTACTTTTTCACTGCATAATTAGAACAATAGAGTCTGTAAGAACCAGCAGGCTGGCTACAGCTTAGGCATTTTGGGGTTTCTGGCTATTTAATGCTAATCCAAATTGGATTAGAAAACTTCTGACTTTCTTGTTTCCTCCTACAGGCTTCTGATAAGCTCAACCGAGGTGAGCATCATGGGCACCTCTGCATCCTTCGGGCGGAGACAGCAGACACCCCCATGCTCATGATGTTAGTTTCCTAATGAGTGAATAGGACCACGGTCAATGCTACAGTTAAAATGAAACACCACCACCCCCACCCCCCAGCATCTGGAGCATTCCAAACCCAGATCCAAAATATAAACAATATGCAAATTAGTAGATGACATTTTAATGATAAAAAATACTGTAGGAATCCTGGGAGAGATACAAGGTAAATCAGTTTTCTTTTTGTTAAAAAGATTAGATTAACCACAAAGAATCAATTTTTAAAAAAAGCTTTTAAAAAATAGATTAAATGTACCCAAAGGTCCCTTTCATTATAAAATTCTGATTCTGGGATTAGATGCTAGGCATTTGAAATAGCAGGTGTATAAATTTACAAAGGAATAAATTGGGTCCATATAACAGGAGTTTAATAACTTAATATTGACTTTTCCCAGGGCACCAGCAAGAACTTCCCACTGTTTGTGAAGCCTGATGACTGCAACATTTATCCTAATGGATCATCTCATAGCTTAGAAACCATTCTCAAAGACATTCAAGAGAAGACTCAAAATTCTTCTTCAGCAGTGGGAGCTTAAAACGGCAAGGCTAAGCCCTAGGACAGAAAGAACACTGGCTCTGGAGCAGGAACTGGACGTGTCCCGGCTCTGCCTACACAATCTCTGTGACCTTAAAGACATCACTGACTTCCTAGGAGATTCAGTTTTATGTCGCATTTAAGCTAAAATTTCCAAGGTCATTTTAAAAAAAAACCCTGGTTTCTAAATTCCTGTAATCTAAGCTCCTGTGCATAGTTAAATGCATATGAGCCGTTACACCTTCCCTTCAAAATGCCCGCTGCTTCCTTTTGCACTTAGACTAAAACCCAGACTCCCCTTCCAACCTTCATCGCTTATCTGATGTGGCCCCGCCTACAGACTCCTCCCATTCTCCACCCACCATCTACTTCCACCAAGTGCTGGGCATGCTGCTGCAGTGTACTCTGCCCCGTCCTTGCTTGCTGTCTCCTATATCACTCACATTCCATGCAGATGTCACTTTGGGAGAGATACCGTTTCTGAACACCTTATTCTGCAACACACACACACACACACAAACACACACATATACACACACACACACAATACCATTCTATCACTTCATCTTTGTTTCATTTTCTCCATTGTGTCTGTCATGACCAAATGTTACCTTGTGCAATTATGCGATATCTTCACATTTGAGAGACTGGTCCTGGAATGCACGACTACCTGATAGTGGGAACTTTGTCCATCTACACTCCCAGGACCTAGCCAGACTGGCACCCTAGCAGATTCTCAAAAAAGAAATAAACAAAAACGTCTGACAAATTCAGAAGTTCTCTCTGCATCTTCTGCCCCACTCCCCCAATCAAGAGTGTAGTTTCCCAGATACAAAACCAGTTTTGGAAAGATGGAAAAATCCAAGAAGTCAATTTAGTTTAAAAGCAATCAGCTGAGGTAGGGTAGAAGCTCAGTGGTGCAGGGCTTGCTTAGCATGCACAAGGCTCTGGGTATAATGGCCAGCACTGCAATAAAAGAAAAACAAAAATGAGAGTCTTTAGGGGACTAGAGATATAGCATAGTGGCAATGTGCTTGCCTAGCATGCATGAGGTCCTGGGTTCCATCCCAGGTACTGGAAAATATATATATATAACAAAACAAGGCTCTCTAAAATGAGTGAATTGAGGCTTGCAATCACATCTCTTAAAAAAGATCCTATTCACTAGATATTCAAATATCAACCTTTTCCAATCAGCAGGACAAGCTCAGACGAATGCACCCTTGTATTTATTTATGTTCTAGTACAATATTTTAGTGCTAACTAGTACATTATAGTACAACATTCACTGTAGCTGGTTTCCTGGGTAAGTCTGTATTTCATTTTATGGGTTTACAATTTTTCATCTCTTCAACTTACTAACTGCATAATCTAGTGAAAATTGTTTCCCCATCTGTAAAATGGAGGTTAAAAAAAACATCATCACAGTGTGTCCTAAGGATTCAGGGGCATGATTTATCAAAGAAGACACAGAGTGCCCTCTTCATAGTTAGCAGTCAAAAAACATTCTCTGTCTGCCTCCCCAAACTCTTATGTTTATGAGCTCCTTAAAAAATGTCAACATGATAATAAGTGTATGACATAAAACATTTTCCAGACCTCAGAAAGGTTGCTGTATCCTAATTATAGCTACTTCTAAAAATATCTAAGACCCCTTGCTTAATCTGACTTTGACCTTGACACATTTCAGTACTGTGTTTGGAAGCTTACTTGCATTCTTGACTAACATTCACTGAACAGCTTTGGCTAAGCAAGCTATTGTTGCTACTTAAAACCTGGCTTATTTCCCTCTGAGTAGCCTTCAGTTCAGATGTTCAAAAGTAATCTATAATTGAGAAGATCAACATGAGTAAAGACAGACGGTATCTCCTCAACAAGAAATCATGCATAATAACTCTTAATGATTAATAAGCCCAATGTACTTAATGAACTATATGCTGCCAGAATCTGAAGTATCCCCTGGTTAAGCAGAACAACCTTTGAAACCATTACCCTTTGGGTACTTTTTGATACCAGAAAGTGTGCCATAATGAGGAACTGGGTTCTCCGGGCTCCAAAGATCAGTGCATTATAAATCAGTAAGTCCTTAAAGTCCTACTTTACTATAAGTTTCTTGAGGGCAAGAACCATGTATTAATTTTGAGAGTCACAATTATCTGAACATTGCTGTGGGATAATGCCTTTGTACACTGGTTTAATAAAATGCTGATTGGCCAGTAGCCAAGCAGGATGTATAGGCAAGGCAAGCAGGCAAGGAGAATTCTGGGTAGAAGAAGGCTGAGTCAAGAGTCACCAGCCAGGGCATTTGGCCTGGTTAAGCATTTGGCTGGTTAAGATTTCAGGCTTCTAGCAGCAGTTCAGCTGAGACCCATTCTGGATGAGGACTCAGAGACCTCCAGTCTGAGGAAACAAGACCAGCTGAGGATCCGGTAAGATTCCTCTTGGATTTGGCTTCAGATGAACAGATCTTCTGCACTGTGTACAGGCACAGTTGCTGATATGTGTTCAAGATGAGTGGGATGGGAGAAAACACCTCTGACCCGGCGAGGGCAGAGACAAGGAAACGCAAGGAATGTCCTGACCAGCTTGGACCCAGCCCCAAAAGAAGCACTGAGAAACGTAATCGTGAGCAGGAAAATAAGTACATAGAAGAACTTGCAGAGCTGATTTTTGCAAATTTTAATGATATCGACAACTTCAACTTCAAACCTGACAAATGTGCAATCTTAAAAGAAACTGTGAAGCAGATTCGCCAGATCAAAGAGCAAGTCATATGGTCCACTAACGGAACTTCAACCTCATCTGGGGAAAGTACTGTTTCATTTTTGTTCATCACTTGCTAGAACTCTAGGTCATTTGACAACACTTAAGAATACCTTTAAGGGGCACAGCAGCAGCCCGCTGAGGTAGACGGGCCCAGCGGCGGCAGCCGACAGGGATATTCAGACCCGGCGGCAGCCGGCAGAGACATTCAGGCCCAGCG